TCGTTAATGTTAAACAAACAAACAGAAAACTGACTTAGAACATGAAGTCGGACATGAACCTGACTGAGTGCTGTCTAAGCACCCTGGGAGAGTGTCTGAAGTCCACACTGTAGTAAAACAAAACCTGGTCAGTAAATGTCAATTTTTTGTTTGGCTGACATATATTTTAGGTCAGTCATCTTAACTAGATCTAAATAAGCTGATGCAAGTATCTTGTAATATTATATAACTTGACCATGATGATTTAACCTACTGAGGTAAACATTAGGTTGATATAAATATGTTTACAATACATACACCATAAATTATTGTCCCTGTTTATCAGTACCACCTTTTGCACATGAGGGGAATCTTCCTCCGTGGCTATGTACCAAAGAGAAACATAAATGTAACTTTGCAGCATTTGTCAGTAGTTCACATCAGCAGTGCTGGCTATTTTCCCTGGATAGCATCTTAATTAAGTTGCACTTAATTAAAGGAGCTGCCATTGAACTAAGAGCCACTGTTTGTGCATCTCTCACATGCAGCTTATTCGGGCATCTGTTTGTCTATCGAACTGCTGAAGTCTTTTTTTCTTTTTTTTATTTACCTTGGGTAGTACAGTCTGTGCTGAGGAGCACTTTTTTACACACACAGATTGATGCAAAATGAATAAAATAACACTTCTCTTAGTTCAGTTCTGGGGACAATAATACTTACTCACACTTAAGTATCTACATTTTTTACCACTCTTTTAGGCTTTTGACAGCCATTGGCAGTCAACAGGAAAATATTAAAATGAAAAAGACAGGAAGAAGATAGTCTGGTCTACTAAAATGCTAAATAATTTGATCTTCAGTGTTGAAGAGAATACCATTTGCTCCCCAAACCGATAGCCAACCTTATTCAGGTCCTTCATAGTAACTGCTTTTTCTCTCTTCTCTCTCCTACACTACCCCCTCCCTCTGCCCTCCCTCTGTCTTAACACAGTGATGAAGATTGATGTTCAGGTCCTAATTAGCATCTGCTTTAGTATGCACACTGCCAGTTTGTCCATTCCTGACCCTCGAATCAGTTAACAGACATGACAGGCCTTGTCCAATCAGATTAAGGCCAGAGGGACAGACTTCCTGTGTGGAGCTGTCACTCTAGATGCACTGTGGGCACCGCTGATGGATGTGATTTGGGCTAGGAGACCCAAATCATTTCAAAATGGTGTAAAACATCATGCATCGTATTAGGTTGTGCAGACAGATGAATAAGATTAACTACAACACCACGACAGTGTGCTGTAAACGCCCTCAAATGGGATAGAAGTGGTAATAAATGAAAGTGACAGGATGTGACAGCTTGTTGATCTTAAACCATAAACATTTTAGTCCTAGTTGAATTTGCAACACTTTTGAGAACAGGTGTCGGGCTCTGAAAGTGTTTCAATATCGCAACCGTCAATTTGTGGATCTCTTTGCATTACTTAACTTCTCCAACTCATTTATTTCCCCTCATATAGCCAATCCGTGTGAAATTCAACATTGTCAAGCATATTGTGTTATAATGTGTGTGTGTGTGTGTGTGTGTGTGTGTGTGTGTGTGTGTGTG